GAGCCATTAAAGCCTGAGCTAGTCCACTTTACATAATAAAGAGTTCTCCCCTTCCGTTCCAGAGTGATGGGATTAAGGCATGATAATATCGGCCCTTTACCCAACTCCCCACATGACATCTGAGAACGCAACCAAACCTGGATTCAAAACGCAGCCTAGAGAGTTGCCCCTGCATGGCTCCATGGGAACCAATCAGAACACAAGCTCAAGATCAAAGGCCAGAGTGGGATAAAACCAGGGACTCAGCATCTCAGTCGGCCCTTTTTTCCTTCCCTTCTCTTCTCCACCAACATTGAAGCATGTGATCATCTTTTCTGTTCAGGGCTCAAGCCATGTGGTCCTGTCCACCATTAAAACCACCTTTCCAAGCAGCCTCCATGTCTCCAGTGTCTTTTTCCCCATTTGGAACTGAACCCAGGAGGACATTTCTTCCAACACAACGTAAGTCATCTCCTATGTTTGGCTTACATTAAATGTAGTGGTCCTTTTGCTTTGACAAATGAACATTTCCCCCCATTTTAGGACATGAACATCAAATAGGCCTTTGAGTACTGCCTAATATAAGGGATCCACAACTCCTGCTCCATGGAATGGCCCCTGCAGCATGCCAGAAATCGGTCCGCGCAAACAAATGAAGCCCCATCCATGAGATGCAGGCAGCACACAAAACCATGACTCCTCCTGTCAGCGGAAAAACCTTCTGCATGGAACCAGTCCCTGGTGCCCAAAAGGTTGGGAGCCTCTGGCCTAATATGATCCCAAATGAAATTTAAAAACAGGAAAATAAACAGAAGTGGCAAGGAGTGCCTTTCGTAGAAGAAGACGCAGTGCAGAAAAGTTTTCAATCAGACATGTTCACTCTAACAACTATAAGATGTCTGGACTCCAACCACCCCTAATTCTAAATCTGGGAGTTGGACTCCAGACATTTTAAAGTTTGAGAAATACTGACCTACAGAATCTTAGCTGAAGTGACTAAGAAACATACTGGAACCATAAATGTTAAATTAGTGAGTTTCTTCAATTTCACTCTTCTCAAGGAAGTCAAGAGGACCTAGGCAAAAATGATAGATTTATGATGGTTTAGTTTCTGAGAAATATATAGCTATCCTGCCTTGCTTTGTGCACTTCCGCTTCACATTTGCCTCTTGGGATTTCCTGATGAGATACTGTGCTAAGACAAAAACTTTTATTCCACAAAAAGAATAATTATGGTGCCTTACTCTGCAAATTTTTGGTAAATAATTGCTGGACATAGGGCATGACAACTTTTGTCCCATTCTGATCACGACTAATAATTTTCTCTTTTTCAAATTCTTATAGCAATAGCAGTTAGACTTATATACCGCTTCATAGGGCTTTCAGCCCTCTCTAAGCGGTTTACAGAGTCAGCATATTGCCCCCAANGCTTCATAGGGCTTTCAGCCCTCTCTAAGCGGTTTACAGAGTCAGCATATTGCCCCCAACCGTCTGGGTGCTCATTTTACCCACCTCGGAAGGATGGAAGGCTGAGTCAACCCTGAGCCGGTGAGATTTGAACTGCCGAACTGCAGATAACAGTCAGCTGAAGTAGCCTGCAGTACTGCATTCTACCCATTGCGCCACCTTGGCTCTTGTCGTCTCAAACAATTCCTGATGGGTTTTCCACACTCCAAATATTCAGTGGTTTCCCCCCTGTGTGAGTCCTCTGATGTCGAATAAGAAGCGTGCTAGAGAAAAAATTCTTTCCACACTCCAAACATTTGAAGGGTTTTTCCCCGGTGTGACGCCGCTGGTGCTTACTAAGAAGTGATCTCTCACTAAAGCCCTTGCCACACTCTGGGCATTTAAAAGGTTTCTCCCCCGTGTGAGTTCGTTCGTGTCTAATCAGGAGGTTGCTCCAGGTGAAGCTCTTTCCACACTCCAAGCATTTGTAAGGTTTGTCTCCGGTGTGGGTTCTCACATGAGAAATAAGGATGGAGTTGTGACTGAAGCTCTTGCCACACTCCTGGCACTGGAAAGGTTTCTCCCCGGTGTGAATCCTTTTGTGAGAGGTGAGGTGTATGTGCTGACGGAAGCTCCTTCCACAATCCGGGCATTTAAATGGCTTCTCACCCGTGTGAATTCTTCGGTGGGAGGTCAGGTGGATGTGCTGACGAAACCTCTTTCCGCACTCCACGCATTTAAAGGGTTTCTGTCCCGTGTGCATGCCTTGGTGTGCTGCAAGGATCCCACTCTGACTAAAGCATTTCCCACACTCCTGGCACTTAAAGGGCTTCTCGCCTGTGTGAATCCGTCGATGTGCCGTAAGGCTTCTGCTCTGACTAAAGCATTTCCCACACTCCGGACACTTGTACGGTTTCTCCCCCGTGTGGCTTATCTGGTGCCTAATAAGGTTCGTGCTGTCGACGAAGCTCTTGTCGCATTCCAAGCATTTATAGGGTTTCTCCCCGGTGTGGATTCTTTTATGTCGAATGAGTTCAGAGCTGCGACTGAAGCTTTTATCGCACTCGGGACATTTAAAGGGTTTCTCCCCCGTGTGGGTTCTTTCGTGTCGAACCAGTTCAGAGCTGTGACTGAAGTTCTTTGCGCACAAGAGGCATTTAAATGGCTTCTCTCCTGTGTGGGTCCTTTCGTGCCGAATCAGGTGTGAACTCTGGCTGAAGGTCTTCCCGCACTCTTGGCACCGGAAGGGTTTCTCTCCCGTGTGGGTTCTCTGGTGAGAAGTTAGGTGTATATGTTGACGGAAACTCTTCCCGCACTTCGTACACTGGAAGGGTTTTTCTCCCGTGTGGATTCTCTCGTGGGAGGTAAGGTGTATGAGCTGGCGGAACCTCTTCCCGCACTCCAGGCATGGGAAGGGCTTTTGTCCCGTGTGCATGGCTTGGTGCGCCATGAGAATGCCGCTTTGGCTGAAGCACTTCCCGCACTCTGAACATTGATAGGGTTTCTCTCCGGTGTGGCTCCTCTGGTGGGAAGTGAGAATGCCGCTGTTACTGAAACACTTCCCGCACTCCAAGCATTTGTAAGGCTTCTCTCCCGTGTGGCTCCTTTGATGGGAAGTAAGGTTTCTGCTTTGGCTGAAGCTCTTTCCGCACTCGGGGCATTTGTAGGGTTTCTCTCCTGCATGAAGCCTTTTGTGCCTAATCAGTTCGGAGTTCCTACCAAAACTCTTCCCACATTCAAGACATTGAAACGGCTTCTCTCCTGGGTGGGTTTTCCAATGCATGTTCCTATCTGACGTTTCATCCCAACTTTCTACGTAGGAAGAAGCCTCATGGTTTTTTCCATCTTTTGGGAGGTCTGGGTGGACTGAAATTTCATGGGAACCAATGTCCAAATTAGCGAAAAGTTCATTCCTTTCACCAGTCAGGTTTCCGTTTTCCTTCATTGCCCCTGAATTTCCAAAAGTGTCTTCTACATCTTGGCATGCGTAACTGTTCTCCAGCACAGATTGTGACACCTCTCCATCATTTCTTCTGATCCACACCTGCCCATCTGAAATGAAGAGAAACATCTGATGTAAGTCAAAGTCCAGTTGAGGAATGAATACAGTCAGCTACTTAAACCAGATAACTAACTCTACACCCTGTCTGGAAAAAAAATTTTTTAAAGGAACAACCTGCTGTCCAATTCATTAATGCTAGACATGAGTTAGTGTTTGCTTGGCAAGAACTCTATCCCAATGTCTGTCCTCACTAGCTTCTTTGAAAGTGTCCACTCTCAAATAATTAGGAAACTTTCTCTATAAACAACTCAGTATTCGACAAAGGGCCCGATTCCTGGAGGTGAAGTTGGCTCAACTACTTGAAAGATATAAGGGGCTACACAAGGAAATGTAAGAGTATAAAGCAAGTTTTGACAGCCAGTTTGGTTTTGTGACTTAGGCACCAGGCTAGAAAGCAGGAGAATTTGAGTTCAAGCCCCTCCTTAGCCATGACAGCCAGCTGGGTGACTTTGGGCCAGTCACTTTCTCTCAGGCCACTCCACCCCACAGGGTTGTTGTCGTGGGGAAAATAGGAGGCAGTTGTGTTGGACGTAGTTGCCGGCTTGATTTATTTGTAAAAATAATAAAAGCAGGATACCAATAAGTAAATATAAATTAGATGGATAGATAGATATAGATGGATGGACGGATGGACGGAAGGACAGATGGACAGACAGAGGTGATAGATGGATGATGGATGAATGGATGGATAGATGGATAGATGATTAGATGAGAGAATATGGATGGATGAATGGATGGATGAATGGATGGATGGAAGGATGGATAGAGGCAGATAGATGGATAGATGGATGGATGGATGGATGGATGGATGGATAGATGGATAGATGATTAGAGAGAGATATGGATGAATGGGTGGATGGATGGATGGATAGATGGATAGATAGATGATTAGATGAGAGAGATGGATGGATGGATAGATGGATAGATAGATGATTAGATGAGAGAGATATGGATGGATGAATGGATGCATGGA